GGGTCCTCATTTTACCCACCTCAGAAGGATGGAAGGCTGAGTCAACCTTGAGCCAGAATTAAAGCTAGAATTAAACTCCTGGAGTGAGCAGTGAGTTAGCCCTGCAGTACTACATTCTAACCACTGCGCCACTGCAAAAAGGTGTAGTATTTTCTCCTGAAGGTTGTACAACAGGTGTGCTCATATAGACATCCAGGTAAACAAGAAAGCCAACATACACACAGAGCCAATATTGTAGTTGCTAAGTTGCTGGACTAGCAGCAGGAAGACACTGTCAGTGTTCTTTAAGCATGGAAACCAGCTGGGTGATTCTCTCAGTGCAGCAACACAACTGGTGGTGTGTAATGGTTAAAGAGATGGACTAAGAAGTTCTAGTGTTCCTTGAGGTGCAGAAGACAACTGGAGTTGAGTCAGTCATGTTCTCTCTAGAAGTCAAGTGAATCTATCTCCCACTAGACCAGATAGGATAGTCTGTAACCTTCATGAAGACACCTTCTTCTTCCAGTTGACTGATAATAATAATACACACACATACATACGGAGGTGCACACATATACGCACAATGATTAAGCAAGTTCCTTTTTTAAAGCAATATCATCATTTTAGTTCTGTTACTTGATAATTATCAACTATTATGACTCAGGTCACAAAGGCAGCTGCAGGCACCCATAAAAGTTTTTATGGCACCACTATCCTGCAAGAGATGGACCTACAATAGCCAGTAAAGCTTGTACCCCAAACTTTCCCAAAGGCAACCACCCATAGTCAGTGCAACCTGGTCCCACAAACTAGATCCAATAATCTCCAGAGCCAATACACAAGGCAAGGAGGAATTTCATAGTCTATAAACGAGATTCAAAGTCCACAAGGAAAGGTCTGTAGTCCACAAACAAGGCGGCTTCTGACTAGCAGAGTCAATGGGGGGGAAGCCTGATTTGCTTAACAACCTGATCCTTTTAACATCTGCTGTGATTTTGCTTAACAACCATGGCAAACAGATCCTGAAATGGGATGTGACTATCTTAACCATCACTTTGCTTAGCCATGGGCATGAAAGTCCCACTTGTGGATATAATTCAAGGGCTGTGTAATGCAGTGGTGGGATTCAAATAATTTAACTACCAGTTTGCCCAGGATCAGGTTGGCTGTTGTGGGAGGCGTGGCCCATCCTCATCTTCCAGCTCGGCCACACATGCGGGACAAGCTTCCTGTGATGGCCAACCTGACCTGAACCTGACCAAACCGATTCTTAAATTACCACCCCTGCTATCAGTGGATCCTGGATGCTCAGTTGCTTGTTTCTCCATTGCAGCACAGTGCAGCGCCCAGCAGCACCGTAGCTAGTGGGGGGGGGGGGGGGGGGGGGGTGAGGTGAGTAATTTAAAAACCGGTTCACTTGAACTGGTGCAAACCAGCTAAATCCCACCACTGCTACCTAATATATATTAGAGCAGGACCTTCCGAATATTTTGTTCGGAGTCAGATACAAGTTGAGTGGCTAAGGGGAACAGACCCATTTCAAGGGCTAGTGATACCCAGTTGATACCCAGTTGCCTTCGTCCCTGCATGTTTGAAGCCAAGGAGGTCTTCTTCATCCATCTCTTGCATTCTCAAATAAATTATCAATTTCTGCGGAAGCATTGAGAATCCTGCCACTTCACTCATCCTCATTTTTTCCTATGTGAATTCTACAAGGCCTCTGTGTTTCTGATCGTAAAGCTGAGCTTGATTTGTGATCCTTTCATCCATTTATTGCCTTCCCCTTTGGTTTTCAGCTTTATTTGTTTCACGCCTTCATTTTATTCTCTTGTCTGTGCCTTCTCCTTCCCCCAGCCCCCTCCCCTCCCCTCCTCAAAACCTACCAGCTAAACCTGGCAAACTTCTGCCTTTGGTTTCAATCAGTCAGGAAAAAAACAGTGGAGTTCAGATTCTAATGATAACCGAATTGGGTAAGAAAGTGCCTTTCCTTTTGGACATCAACTGCTTGTTGCTTTGCTGTTGTTTCCACTCTCAGCTTTCTTTTTTTCTTCATCTGGCTGCATCCAAAAGTTGCCTTCTCAATACTACTTTGAATGTGCTTTATTTCTGATTCCAGTTGAAACAGACTGTCTTGTTCTGCCTTATTTTAATGAATTTTCTTTTTCTGTACATACATACAGCATTGGTAAATCTTTGATCACATTCATCTGACCGGCTGACTGTTTATGACTGCACATCAGTTCATTTTCCCCCTCCCCCTCCCCCTCCTCCCCTCCTCCTATTCCTCTCTTTCTCCTCCTCTTCCACTTCCTCTTCCTCCTACTTCTCCTTCTCTTCTCTTTTTCTCCTCCTCTTCTTCCTCCTCCTTTTCTTCTCTTTCTCCTCCATCTGACAGACACATTTTAACAGTTCTCAGACACATGAAAGAAAGGTAAATATTTGCAAAGGAAAAAAAAATCCCTTAAGTCTAAGACACTGACTAGATTGTGAGAACAATTTTTCATTAAGAGCTTCCATGTTGAATGAGCTAAAAAGCACCATGCTTCTAAACATTTTTTTCTTTTATCCAAGTATGACTTTTGATTATCAAGTTCTGTAATGAAACTCTGAATGTATGAACTAATTTTTCTCCTCATTAAGTGGAAGTCATTTGAATAAATCTTAGGAGAGCATGAAAGGAAAGCAACTCTTCTCTGATGCTAAAGCTTTCCCTTCCATTTTCAGAGTTCTTGTCCCCAATTTTTTTTTTACATAGGATTTTCCACCAGCTTTAACTGTGCTACTAATTTTTCAGAGCTGCCAATAGAATATAGAATAGAGGCACTACTTTAGATTTGTGTGTTGGTTTCCTTTACTACTTGATGAAGACTTTTCTTGCAGTTTTATTCTTATATTATGTTTTTCTAGCATATAAAGTTTAAAATAAATTAAAAATTAAATTAAAATAGTACCTAAGTAAAAACTATGAAACAGTTTTATCGATCGAGTTGTTTGAATGAAAGGGCTTTTCTCAATTCACCTACTGTAAGTCATGTCCAGTTTTTAGTTAATTACAGTAAAGGAGGAAGAGACAAATATATGGGGACTCTAATTTTACAGCCATATCTGCCACAGATTTAGTTTGTAAAGTTTGTTCATCTAATTGACCTTGTTTTGTCTCTTTTCTTTTCATTCCAAAATCTCTCTTAATCATCTCCCAATATGATATATTACATAGAAATACATATCATCCCCATATTGTCAGTAATCTTGGTACCTTAAAATATACATAGATGTCTTTTTGGAAATGTAGAAATGTGAACTTGGAGGAGGAAAAAAAAACCAAGCCCCAAAAACTTCAACCTTTTTTCAATGGTCCAAGGACAAAACAGGACCCCATCTCTTTAATCCATATACTGAATCTGACTCTCCTATTTTACAACATTACTTGTTGATATATGCATAGACCATCCATTCTGTCACATCTGCATATACCAGTGTTCCCCAGATCTGCATGTATTCATTATTCTGCCCTTATTAGCTGTTAATCCCTGCATATGCACATATATGTCTCCCGGCCAGCTTGCAACAGAGAAAGAAAAATAAGAAGAAAATAGAAGGAGAGAGGGGATAAGACTGGAGATGAGGTTTAGCTTGACAAAAGATAGCTGAGGTGGATGTGATAATACCCTGAGTGTCTATATAATATACAGTATGGTCAGTGGTGGGATTCAAATAATTTAACAACTGGTTCTCTGCCCTAATGAGCTCTTCCAACAACCAGTTGACCAAACTGCTTAAAAAGTTAACAACCGGTTCTCTCGAAGTGGTGCGAACCGACTGAATCCCACCACTGAGTATGATACAACTCCAGCAAGCATGCCATGTAGGAGGATCAAGACCTCTTCTGCCAGCATGGAGAACTTGAAATAATGGCAGAAAGATGTATTCCTGTTGAAAGTGAGGGGAGAAATTCCATAACCACAAGAGCAATTTGACAGTAGAACCAATTTCCCAGACAGGTGATAGGTTCCCTTTTTCAGATGCGTGCAAGCAATCGCCATTTGTCAAGAGTCTTTTGGTGTAACAATAGGGAGTCCTTCAATGTTGGTTCCAATGGCCTGCCAGATCCCTTCCAAATGTGTCATTGTTATGAAAAGGAGCAGGTTGATGCAGATGGGAGGAGAATGGGAGAGGAAAGGAAGGGGAAGGGGAGGGAGATAAGATGGAAGGAAGAGGAAAGGGAGATATAATGGAAATAAGGAGGAGGGAAGGGAGATATGATGGAAGGAAGGAAGGGGAGGGGAAGGAGATATGATGGAGGGTACGGGTTGGGAAGGGAGATAGGAAGGAAGGAAGGAAGGAAGGAAAGGAAGGAAGGAAGGGAGGAAGGGGAGGGAGATATTATGGAAGGAAGGGGGAAGGGAAGGGAAATACAATGGAAAGAAGGGGAGGGAAGGGAGGGAGGGGCAAGAAGAGAAGGAAGATATGATGGAAAGAAGGGAAAGGGGAAAAAGAAAGGGAGATATGATGGAAGAAAGGGGGAGGGAAGGGTTGGGAAGGGAGATACAATGGAAGGAAAAGGAAGGGAAGGGAGATATGATGGAAGTAAGGGGGAGGGAAAGGAAGGGAGGGGAGAGGAAGGGAATGGAGATACAATGGAAAAAAGAGGGAGGGGGAGAGAAGAAAAGGGAGATTTGATGGAAAGAAGGGAGAGGGAAAGGAAAGGGAAAGGATATGATGGAAGAAAGGGGGAGGGAAGGGTAGGAAAGGGGAGGCAGATATGATGGAAGTAAGAGTGAAAAGAAGGGAAGGGAGATACAATGGAAAGAAGAGGGAAGAGAGGGAGGGGGAGGGGTGAGAAGAGAAGGGAGATATGGTGTTAGAAAGGGCAAGGGAAAGAAAGGGAAGGGGAGGGAGATACAATGGAAGAAAAGGGGAGGGGAGGGTAGAATTATGAAGGAAAGAATAATGGAAGGGAGGAGAATGGAAAGGAAAGGAAAGGAAAGGAAAGGAAAGGAAAGGAAAGGAAAGGAAAGGAAAGGAAAGGGGAACGGAAAGGGAACAGGAAGAAGAAGGGGAAGGGGAAGATAAGAGGAAGCAAAGGAAAAAGCAAACAACCTGGAGAAGCAAGGCAAGTTGAAAATAAAGCAAGAGAGGCAAGTGTTCTGTATTCTGTACAGTGGTAGATTTTGTCTTCTGTACAGATGCAGATAGATAAACTCAACAAAACATCCATACAAAGTTTTTATTATTGGTTCATCAGGTATCCTCATAACTCACATTTATGATGAAGTTCTTCTTTAATGAGCAATCCTTTGCATATCTGTCTTGTAGGTAAAAAGATCGTTATCTCCTATCCTTTTTCTCCCATCTTGTAGCAATAGAAGTAGAACAGTTACCACAAGTCCATGAATTCAGCCAAGAGTGAGGAAACCTCCTCCAACCCATCGAGGGTCAATTTAGTGAACAATCAGGATTACAGATGTGGTAACGTGATATGGACTACATTTCCCAGGATACCTTAACTACATTTACCATGATGCATTCCCTTAAGGGGACAGCTCACAATTGCTATCTAACTATCCAATTCCCATACACTGGCTGGACAGCACAGGAAGGGAAGGGAAAAAAAGAGACATCTAGATTCTTCTACTTTGTCCCTCAAGTGTTCTTGAAAGACATCCATACAATGTCTTCTGCAGCCATTTGGGACCCCCATTCATTCAATGGGCCTTTATGGTCCCAGTGAAGGCAAATCCAGTAATAATCTTTAGGGAGCTTCGTGTTCCTAATCAGGAAATAATGCACTTGCATTCAAGCCAAAGGAGTACCATGTGGGTTCCCCACTGCACAAGGTAAAACTAAAGATGGCCTCATCTCCTGGCAAGGTAGATAGAGGCAAGTAGTCCTCGACTTACAACCACAACTGAGCCCTGAAGTTCTGTCGCTAAGCGAGACCCTTGTCCAGTGAATTTTGCCCCTAGTTTACAACCTATTTCTTACCACAGTTGGGAAGTGAATTTGGCTCCCCCATTGGCTTCGCTTGCCAGAAGGGGATCCCATGACCCCGCGAAACTGCCACCGTCACAAATGCGAGTCAGCCACCAAGCCTCCGGATTTTGATCATGTGACCAGGGGATGCTGCAATGGCTGTAACGGTCAGAGGTCAACTGGATAATGCTAACAAAGGCCCCTGAGGGGTTCCTGCTCTTCGCCTTCCATAAAGACAAAATAACAATTATTATTATTATTATTATTATTATTATTATTATTATTATTATTAT